TTCTTGAAAAACAACTTAATCCGCCCTTGAAGAACAGGAATCTCAGACAGCAGCCCTCTCTCCTCTCCATGGGCTGCCATAACACGGCCCCAGCCCTGAGAAGACCACAGTTCCTGCTTAGCTCTCATCCATCAGGCCATTTTTGTCAAAGGAGCATTCTCTCCAAAGCACAATTAAGTATCACTGGATTTACCTATTTGCCACTTGCTTGCTTACACAAACTCCCAATGTATATTTTAACCCTATATCCATTCAGGTTTTGTTTTATTTTCTACTAAGTTATTGAATACGTCTACATTTAAAAGGCTTGGAGAGGAATATTATACTTTTTGGGAAAATGTGGTAACTTTTACACTTCATTGTCTCCTTTGCTCTAGGTAACCCCTTTCTCTTGAATTCTCAAAGGATTTTTACGAATAACTTTATAACTGAACGACCATTACTAGCATTTCTGGTTTAGGTGAAGTCTAAATCTGTTAGCATACATCTCCATATACAGACAGCTATCTTGAGAGCTCACTCAGTCATTGATAAGTCTTGTAAACCAGCACTTATTCTAATGAAAGACAATAAATTAGTAGAAATCTGGAGTCACAGCCTGTTCATCTCATTGCCACCAAAGACCCGGCAATCTAATCCTCTTTCGCTGAAGGCAATAAATGTCTCTGATCCTATAAATGTATTTAACTCCAGTTTAAGCAACTAGTAGCTGCTTTAAAGCAACACCTCCCAAAATCTTTGTACTCTGTCCCACAATAAAAGTACATGTTTAGAAATACAGCACACACATACATATAGCTAAAACAAAAGTTCCTTGAAATCATACCCTTACCACATTCAACACTAATCCATCTTTCTCCTTCCTTCCCTCCCTCCCACTCCCCTCTCTTCCTTCCTTCCTTCCTTCCTTCCTTCCTTCCTCCCTCCCTCTCTCTCTCTCTCTTTCAAATGCTGGTTGTGACCCACTACATTGATTTCAGAACGTTTTAAAGGATTAGAACCCACAGTTGCCAACCACTGCTTTAAAGCCCTGCTACTTGATGAGTGGTGATGTTATGACTCGTGGTACCACAGCATCTCAGCATGGATTCCTCCCCAGGCCTCCATCCTTGGCTCTCTCCCCCACTGCCCAAACACTGCCCCTTGTACTCCTTTGCTTTTCATTCTAGTTTCCCCTCCCTTTTTTTTCATTCAACTCGTTGACATTACGTAGAACAAATCTCCCCAAATGTAGTGACATAAAACAACACTTGTTTTCTTCCACTCACAGATTCCGCGGGTCAGGAATTCAGAAAGCACAGGGGGTGACAGGTCTCTGCTCCACAATGTTGAGGCTGAGGGGACTCATGGCTGTATATAATGGCCACTCACTCACATGTCACGCGCCACTTCCTCGTAGCATGGTGCAATCAGGGAACATGGGCTCCATGGGCAAGTGTTTCAGCTCACAAGGCAAGAAACTTCTTGCCTGAGAATTAACATGGCACTTCTGCTGCCACCTACTGATCACACTGCGTCACAAATCCACCCAGTTCAGGGGGAGGCACACCGGACCCCACCTCTAGGTAGAGCGGCAAAGTTCTAAAAGAACACGTGGGACAGCAGATGGTGTTACCGTCATCTTCCAAATTGTTATTCCCCAACCTCAGTTCTAATTCCCAAGGCAAAAATCCAATAGACTACTACGTAGCTAGATCCACAGGGGTGTCAACTGACACTCAAACAGTATATGCCAGCCGAATGCACTTTCCTTTTATATTCCCTATCTCAGTACTACTGGGGAAGAAAGAACTGTATGTTGCATTTTAGATGAATATGCCAGAAGCACCTTAGCACAAAACGTAAGCAGACGCAAGGAGAGAACTGAAAGTAGGACGGGAGTTCCCTGCATCTAAGGAATTCTGTCCTGTGTGGAACACAGGCAGATCTTATAGTCAGTCCCTGTAATGAGAGTGACAAGTGGCCATTCTCCTCCAGACAGTGTTAACAGTTCATGCTAATTAGTAACTGTTAATTAGCAATTTCAGTGGTTATACAATATATGTTCTCACATACTTCACTGCTTCCCTTTCTCTGCCATCCCTGACTGCATGAAGCTCCCTATCTTTCCTTTCATACAAGCTAAGAAACGGTCAAGAGTAGTGCTAGAGAGGCAGCATGAGAGCTGGGAGCAGCGATTCTCAAAGTGTGCTCCGTGGGCCACTGGAGGTCCCAGAGGCCCTTCCAGCAGTTCATGAAGTCAGAACTATTTTCATAATTATACTGAGGTATCATGTGCCATTTTCCACGTGTTGATGTTTGCATTAGTGGTATAAAAGCAATGGTGGGTCCAACTGCTTGTGCCTTGGCTGCTTGAATCAAATGAATCAAGACGGTGACTCCAAAGAGTACCAGTAGTCACTGTATTTTTCACAGGCACACATGCACATTTAAAAAGAAAAAAGAGGGCTTCCCTGGTGGCGCAGTGGTTGACAGTCCGTCTGCCGATGCAGAGGACACGGGTTCGTGCCCCGGTCCGGGAAGATCCCACATGCCGCGGAGCGGCTGGGCCCGTGAGCCATGGCCGCTGAGCCTGCGCGTCCGGAGCCTGTGCTCCTCAACGGGAGCGGCCACAACGGTGAGAGGTCCACGTACCACAAAAACAAACAAACAAACAAAAAAACAACTAGTGATATTTATTGTCAGTGATAAAATTTGAGCTTTAAGGTGAAAATTAGAATTTCGCAATCACCTCCCCACTGTGCCACCTTGGGAGCAGGGTCACTTCTTTAAACACAACCACCTACCAGGGCCCCAGGACATGCAGGGAAAGTAAAAGACCATGTGAGGCAAAGATGTCACTGAAACAAGGGACACACGAGAAGTGTAAAAGCAAAAGCTCCAGCAAAGGAGTGCGATTACATCACTCTGCTGGTCAGGTCCATAACCTCTCACAGTGCTGAACCAACAGCTGGCTGTTTGGAGTGGCTTCCCTCCATAAAACTCCCTAACTGGGGAAATTACTAATTCTCTGGCTTTCATAAAACACAGAGGTCCACCAAATGTTTGCCTGGCAGGTTTTTTTTTCTCCCAAAGGGCAGCTCATTAAGTCCGTCGATAAAGCAGGCTTTGTTGTAAAGATTTACAGTGTTTTCCCAATGAAAACTCTAATTGACAACCACCAGGAGAATAACAATGCAGAGCCCAGAGAGCTCTGGTTTCCCCCATCCTTCCAAGATCCATCTCAAAAAGCATGGTTTCCTGGACCAGTGTTCAGCTCCGTCTTTAATGGACACATGCATAAGCAGATGCCTGGATATCAGAAGTTTATCATTCAAAGTAGTCAAATCTTAAAAACCAAAAGATTTCGTCTTTCAAACTTCAAAGGAAATTCCATTTAATTCCCAAGCTCAGAATATCAGGTCCCTCCACGCAGAATAAGCATATTACATAAAAATGCAACCATCCCTTATCTATGTAAAGGGGGGGGGACCCTAAAAAAATAAAATGCGTGATGGAGTCTTCAGAAATAGTTGCATGAGACTATTAAAGGCACTGCTGTTCAATGGATTCATTACAGAATAAAAGTTCAAGTACCAGAGAGAGTGATTTTCATATGAATGTTGGGTGTTGCGCTCACACACAAGAGTCTCTGGTCTCCACAGAGAACCGAGTCACATCAAGCAAGTCAGGGAGCTGTGAGTGACAAGGTATAGAGAGGGCTGTTCAGATAAGGGACAGACATTACCGGACCCTTTTTCAAAGAAAACTTTGAAGATTTTGTTAGGCTTTCTTCGTGGAACTGTCACAAGATAACAATACAGTTGCAAATGAGTGGTGTTCAGTGGCCACATCACTGCCTTTTACGGACCAGCTGGCAATGGCTGCCCATGATGGGAAATTAGCATTAAAGAAGGACTCAAGGCTACTGGGCTGACACACAGCCCAAGGAGAATACTCTCAAATAAAGTACGACACCCAACGCGGTCACACAAACGGAAAGCTGAGGGAAAAAGCTCCTGTCTGGAAAGCACAGCAGCAGAAAAATATCCTCCTTACTTCTTTCTGAATCTTCCTGAATCTCCCCCTTCTCCAGACAGCGTCCAGGTCCCCGAAGTAAAAATAAATGAGCAAACCATAGGCTTCCAGGTGCATTACACAGATTAAGAGGAGTGCAGCTGGTGGAAGAGGTGGGAAAATAACACAATTCACTCTCTTTTTCCTGAACAGAAAGTAGAGAAAAGAACCAAAGCGGAAAAGCACGCCCCACCTCACCCCCATCCCCCCCCGAGAACACCCAGACCAGGAGTCGAGAGGCCTGAATCCTAACTAGTCTAGTGTCTACCACAACACGGCTTGATGAGTCCCTAAACCTTCTGAATTTCCCTGTCCTCACCCATAAAGGAAATTCGCAGACATCAGTGATTCCCAAACTGTGTTCCCTGGAGCTCTAAGGTTCTGTGGAGGTGCCTCTTAAGGCAGTCAGTGACACAGGGGTAAGGCAAAGGGAGTGGGGCCCTATGCTTCCTCTCCACCCAAAACAGTTCAGAGTTGATCCATTTTCTATATCAAAATTGTGAGTAAAGTCTTTTGTTTAAAGAGTCTACCACCAAGAGACTTCACAACTAAAATGGCTTAAAAGCACTGGACCAACATACCTTTTGATTTCGTATCTTTCTAATTATGTGGTTTCTATGTGTCTCTTTGGATTATTGTTATTAGAATTAATTAATTGACAGGCTGGTTAATATTAATCCCCAAATCTGTGTACCAGGTTCAACTTAAAAGGTGAGGAAATGGAAACTCAGATAAGACAAATACATCAAAATCACTCAGCTCAGTAGCTGACTAGATTCAAACACGGGAATATCTGACATTAAAACCATTAAGCTGGATTCTGTCCTTATAGTTAAAGAACAAACTTCACTGTAAAAGACAATTGATTACCTCAGTATGACTATAATTCTTTCTCTATGGAACATCAGGTTCTTCATTTGTATTCTCTGAGAGTAAACACTTACCCTGTCGAGATGAAATGAATAGCCAAAAGTTCTGCCCAACAAGCAAATTTGCTGGGTACTGGAAAGCCCAAAACGTTGACAAAGCCTCCAGGGCAATAATGGTTGTTAAGAACTTTCAAAGCAAACAAAACTCCTAAAAAAGGATAAAGAGCATATAAATATCAACAATCCAAATGTGGAGATGATTAACACTTACAAAGAAAACTAGCTGAAAGTGAAAATGATTATTCCATTACATCCAGCTTTTTGCTTCGAAACATACTCTATTCCTTTCAAGTCAACCCAGCATTCGGTAGAAAGACAGTCTTCAAGGCAATCATTCCTTTGATGTTTCTTAACACGGAAGTTCATACTGACTTTGAGTATGCTACTAAATATATAACACATAAAATGGGAATAAGACACCCGCAATGGTGCAATACTAAATGCCACTGAACTGTAAACTTCAAAATCATTCATTTTATGTGATTTTTAACTCAATTTAAAAAATATCATTAACGTGTAGTTTTCTAGCTCCTATGGAAAGACATATTGAAGGCAGGGCTTATTTCCTTTCTTCTCACACAATCAGATGCATGAGGATGCACCTTAGAGGGAAGGGGTAAGGACGGCAGGGACAATACAGGGAAGGGTTTGATCTCCTTTGGTTTCAGGACTATTTCCCTCCTACCCTTCACATGCTAATTTTCACAATACCTATTTTAAGTCCTGATGGCAATTTAGTCCTATGAGAAAAATGTAAAAAAAGAACTAGTGAGGGGAACAGTGAGAGGCAATGTAACACGTGTTTAAAGCCACGAAGACTGGGTTCAAATCCCAGCTCCGTTACTTATGAGGTGTGTAACCTTGAGCAAGTTACCTGACTTCTCTGGGCCTTAGCTTCCTCATCTACAAAATCAAGACAAGGCCACCTCCCTAAGGACCTGTTACATTAATTAAACAGCATGAATTATGTATAAAGACTATCACGGCTCTGAAAACACAGTGAGCATGCCATTGTAGGGTATGGTGCATTTATTTTAATGGCGTTATTGAGATGCATACCCATCTTTTTAGGGAACTCCCACAAGTACACCAGTGCCTCTCTCCCTCGTCCCACCATAATGGAGCCAGTGCATATTTCCAGGACCACGTCTCCTACAAAACTACCTTTGGGCAGACCCTAGTCTCAACTGTCCAAGAGTGAATGACGCGGCATAATGGGAAACAGCAAAATCTATGTCTCTCCTGTGCTCCAATCAGCCTATTCGCCAAAATCCAAGCCCCAGCAGCGCTTAGCCACTCAGAATTCAGTTCCCTCACCAACTGGGACCCCTGCTTCAAAACATGACAACAGCTGCACCTCCCTGGCTGTTTTCACGCGGACTACCTTAGAAATGCATCTGCCTTACCTGAGAAACCTACAGCACAGTTCCTTCTGAAGTCAGGTTCATCCATAAATTCTGCCAGAGCAAATTCCAAGAGCAGGTACACCACCCCAGTGAGTAGGGAGAACGTGGTGATGACGTAGGCAAACCATCTACTTCCTAGTCTTCTTTCCAGATGAATTCCTTTCCAGAGCATGGAAGCCATATTGAAATACAAGTGCCAATCATCCACGTGGTGAATAGGGGAAAGCAGTAAGCGCTGCCAGTCTTTTTGCTGGTAACACTTCTCCACGCTAAGGCAGGAGCCCAGCAGCGGCTTCAGAGGATTCAAGAAGAACCAGATGTTGAGAGCCAAGGTTGCTAGGGTGACAGGTGGAATATTGTTGATCCCAACGTGGAAGATTTGAGAAAGGAGCAGGAGCAGCCCAGTGTTAATTCCTCTTGACCTCCGCTGCATGGTTAGATATCAAGCCTGTGACGGGAAAATGTGGTCAGACGTGAGGAATCTGGGAAGATACAGAGGCAGCTGAGCCTAAGATGTAAAATAAAAGGCACATGAAAATCCATCAATTGAGAATTAGGACAGTGACAAGACGTGCTCACTTAAAAGATGGGCTTACATTATGTATATCTCATCTCCCATCTAACAGAAGCATTATTTTCTGTGTCTTCCAGAGTAACGCCCAGGACACTGGCTGATGTCCCTCCTCATTTTACATCCTAAAGGAGAAATGTCATCCCAGATCCCAGTGGACCAGTTAATGGATGGGTATGCTTTTGCTGACAAATATGCCATGAAAATGTAACTTGTCTTCCTTATAAACAAACTTATAACCTAACAAAAAAACATACAAAGATAGTGCGCAAATATTTAATAATTATTTCTTCTCAGAATGCTGGAGAGAATTCTTCACCCCTTCACTTTTTTAAAGAAATATTCGATATTTATATATTAGATAGAGTCTGCTCCAAAGTTCTTCAACATTAGCAAGCAAGTCTTAAAATGCAAGCATATATTATCTTCTATGCCATATCGCCAGATGTCAACTGCTAGACTGCTTTATTTTCAGAAAAATTTCCACTTTTAAAAGTTACCTACTATGAGCCAAATCCTGGATTAAACCACAGTCGCTGTCTTTAAGGAGCTCATTTTCTACTAAGAAGTAAACCAACAACTGCCACACAATGTTCTAAATGCAGGGACAGAGGAAGCCCAGACCCAAGGCACACAACTCAGCCTGAGGTGGTCTTGAAGGGTAGATTGGATTTACCCACGAGGAAGAGTGCCATATTCACGGGTCTACTTCTCCATGCCCTGCGCTGGCCTTGTAACCTGCTTTGGTTGACATAATGAAAAGCAAGCGACACTAGTTCCGAATCTAGGCCTCAAGATGATTTGCAGGCTTCTGCTCTCTCTTGAAACCCTCCTAGGCAACCATGCGGACAAGTCCGGGCTGGCCTACTGGATGATGAAAGACACATGCTCTAGTCACCCTGATGGCCCTGGCCACTGACCAGCTAATGCCTCAGAAGCAAAGTGGTCTAGCTGACCAGCAGCTGACCACAAATGCATAAGTAAATCCAGCTGAGCCCAGACTAATTTGTTAACCCACAGAACAGTGAGCTAAATAAATGATATTTTAAATTAACTTCACCAAATTTTGGAGTGGTTTGTTATACAGCAATTACTAACCAATACAGAAGGTATTTGCTTCAGAAAAGGTCTAGGTTATGCTTATGGGAAAAAGCTAGTAAAGAAAGAGACACAGACTAAAGATGCAAAAGAGAAAAAGAATCAAGTCCTTAGAGGGAATAGCCTTGTCCATCATAACAGGAAGGAAGAAGAATTTCAGGTGCAGATATGGGTAAATAGGCAGATTAGGGGACAGGATGCTGAAAAAGTTCTCATCTAATGGTTTTCTGATTTCCCTGTGGAGCTATCTTGGCTCCAATCAAATATATAACGCACTCTGATACCCTAAAGGTTCTCATTCAGACAGCACATTAGAAAGTGCATGGGCTTTAGAGTAAAAAACAGCTAGATTCCTACTTACTAGCCCTGAGATCTACGGTAAATTACTTAAACTTCAATTTCTTCACTTTAAATTAGAAATCATACCTCCTTCTCAGGATTACTGTAACATGTCTGGAACAAAGTAGGTACTGAATAAATAGTAGCTACTTTTATTCATTACTATAAAGTAATCTCACTTAGGAGAAAAAGTCTTTGCAACGTTAACATTCGAATAATAAGACTCAAATGTACTCCCCATCCCTCTCCACACAGGGATTCTTACCAACTTCACACCCAAAAGAAACGCCCAAGAAAATATTATATATACGTATGTGTTATGGGTGCACCCCCATTATTAGCACAACCCCAAGTTTCTTTATTGCCAGGGCTTATTATTATAGCTTTGTAGCGTTCTCATGAACTAGAGAATTTAATAAAATTTCACCTGAAATGCTCCCAGATAATTTTGGAGAAATAGTCTATATTTTTCACCTTGATGTTCAGGTTGATTTTCAGATCTCCAACTACTGTGACATGTTTTCAATTCCCCTAGATAATTATATATATCAAACATCATTACCTGTAACAGGAGCAATGGAAAGATATGGGCCTGATCATTAAGTAACCAGCTTATAAGAAATCACAAAATAAGCCCTTCAATATCAGTACAGTGTCCTATGATGGCAGGCTACGCACAGCAGAAAATCAAACATAATTACGTCTTTGCTTAAGAAAAAGTCCCCTCTCGACTGGAATCGTTAGTGGTGGAGAGTATAAACAAAAGGACAGTGGAATTTCCCCAAGCTTGTCTCACACTGTGCGCCCAGGCTCACATTAACCCTCAGCTCTATCTCCCCACTGCTGGCTGCTCCTTCTTGCCTGGGACGCTGTGCTCTCCTGCACGTTCCTGCCTCCTCCCAACTCCCCTTCCTCTGCTTCTCAGTTTTGCTCTATTCTTATTCTACGCTATTTTGCATACACTTATGGAATTCCACTCTCATGGGTTCTGTAATTCTTTTTATCAGGATGGCTCCCAAATTTACGTTTTACAGCTTTGACTTTGCAGATTTCAGGGACACAACCTTGTAGGAAGAATACAGTCCACCTGATCTCTTGATTTCCCAAAACTGAATTCGCCCTCCTTCTTACAGAATGACTATTCGGCCATTCCTCAATCACTTAGTTTTTAAAATAAATATCAAGTGCCAAATGCATGCCAGGCCCTGTGCCAGGCATTAGAGGTACAGCAAAGACCAAAACACTTGCAATCCCGGCCCCTAAATGGCCCATTTCTATCATTTCTATTTGTTGAAGGAAATAAAAATACTGGCTGCAGAAAATCACAAGTTGAATAAAATGATGTGGTATGCGTAACATAAAGGCAGATAGAACCATAACCAATGTGAGAAGTGCATAATATAGGTTGGGCTCTGTTTTCCAAAAGGCCACTAGACCGTAGTTTTAAGTAGCGAAGATAAATCGACACTATTTCAAACCAGCTCTATGGCCCAGTTTCCTTCCTAATAAGTAATCAAGTCAGCCATCCAAGGTGAGGGATGTAGCCTGTTTGTAACAAGATAACAGAAAATCTAACTGGTTCCTGTGAAGATCAAACCTGTAACCTGACTTTGTGGGCCAGGCAGGCACACATCTTACTGTAAGATGAATATTGTTTCATCCTGCCCATAATTACATAGATATTTTTAGAGAGCTGAGCTGTAGCAGAAAGCATAGAGGCATGAGTCATAAGCTGGAAACCAGTGCAATGTGTTTGGTTTTGAAAGTGACTTGTTATTCTAACCTGTACTCAGCCCATAACCAGTTACACCAGCGCGAGGAAGAGTAGGCTGGTCCTTGCACTCCATCCCCACCCCCCGCCTTGTAAACATATCCTCCCCCTCACATTCAACATGCCCCAAACTGAACACTGGACAGTCCCTTCCAAGTCTACCCCTCCTCCCATGTGCCAGATCTCAGGACACAGAATCTCCAGCTACCCAGTTGTTCAGGTTGGAGATACAGACAACATCCTCGACACATCCTTCTCCCTCTTCACTCTGCTTCCCCCAAATCCCATCCACCACACTTTGCTAACTCTTCCAAACTATTTGTATCATCTACCTCTTTCTAGCTCTAGAGCCACTACTCTAGTCTAAGCCACCATTATAACTTGCCTGGATTACAACATAAACTCTGCTTCTCCTCTTCTACCCAACAACCATTTTTCACTACTGCTCAGGGTAATTTTTATAAAACTAAAGTGGGATTCCCCTGCAGTAAGCCTTCAATGGCTTATCGTTACAGTTGGAATGAAGTCCAAACTCTTGACCGTAACTACACACTCGTGCTTACCACTGTCCTGCCTACCCCTCTGGTCTCAGCTCACGCTGGTCTCTGCCTTGGTCACTATGATCCAACCACCCGGGTGCTCCCACACAGGGAGCTCCAAGATTATAGCATAAATGCTGAGGGCAGAACTATCTATTTTGATCACCACTGAATACCCAGATCCTAGCATAGTGACTCGTATACAGTCAGTGCTTAATAAGTGTTCGTCCATTGACTCAAGATGAGCATGCTGAATATATCTACATTATAAAATAAACAAGACTGACTGAAAAGGTCTATGATACATTCATCCCTAAGTATTTTTCCTACAATTGCAGCAACCTTCCCCAAAGCACTGTACATATTATTCCACTTATCATTTACTTCCAGAAGAGTGTTGTAACATTTATCTCAACTGTACAGGAATAAACCTCTGATCCATTTAAAACGTATTAATAGGTTGCTTTGCCAGAACTATTTGATTAAAAAAACATGGCATTTTAACCCTGACTGTTTTGACTTCTACTTCCACAAGGGCTCTGTTGATAAGAGCGTCCACAGGGTTGTCACTCTGGTGTCAGTAGGTTCCATGAACACTACAAGGTTCACGACAATTTACAAGTTTCAGTGCTACCTGCAGTGCGAGCCACAAGGATTAGAACTACCTAGAAGATCTGGCTGTCGGTTAAAATCTTCACCAAAGACTGCTCTTCTGAAAACGTGGAGAGAGCAAATAAAACAGAGGGAGGAGCAGGGTGAGGAGAAGAAGAAAGAAACCAAACTTATTTAAATTCGTGCTGTAGTGGTTTGTTAAACAGTTACCTTGTCCTGGAAGTGCTCTGTTTATGAGGAAAAACAAAAAAACAAAAAAAACATGGTGTTTTAATTATGTAGTAATACACACCAGATAGTGCTATATCAAGGTTGTGACAGAGAGAAATGGAAGACCTCTTGAAATATGGATAGGAAAATTAGCCATATTTACTTTTAATGAGAAATTAAAAATTAAACAGGTTGTAATAAGAAAAACTAAGTGGCTAGAACAAACAAAAGAAACTGAATTCATAACTTGGGAAACCAACGTGTCTCACGGGGTAAAGAAAGGAATTTTACCAAAAGGGAAAAGAAAC